TTATTATACATATAATACAGTGGATAAGCATGCATGCATGATAAATAATTAGATGCTGTAGGATGTAGGGTATATACATTAAAATAAAAAAACAAACATATAACATATATATCTAATGATGCGCCCCTGGCTGGGATGTCCTTGGAGACTCATTATGTCCCAAACTCTTAGGACCTTATGTGCTTAGATCTCTTCAGCGGGATGGCATCGGTTGCTACTGGATTCCGTGATGAGCTCAGCTAACCACGTTGGTTGGACTTGGAAAGACCGACTCACAGCTGATCTCACAATCCACCAGTCATCTATTGTAGTGATGATGTCTTGTATAGCACATGCACATCTGACCCCAACCACACCTTGAATTCACTGAGATGGTGAGAAGATGAAGTCGTCCAGGACTCAAACAGCCTCAATCAACGCAGATGTTTCAAACTTCAATTATTCCTCGTTATCCCATGATTGAAACAAGGGGATGCATTCATGACATATGCTCATGTGTGTTCATGTTTGATCCTACTCAGCTAATGGATTGAACATGAATTGTGTTTTTGAATCATGCATGTGGAACTGTATGCGGTGGGCCCAGTCTCCATCCTAGGTCAACTTAGGACCAATCCTCGAACCCAGAAGACGAAGATATACTCACTGTGCAATGGCCTTACTGGTTCTGTCACCGATTTGATTTTGACATCAATGATCAATACGACTTGTTCATGAATTCATGATGTTTATGTATTATTCATGAAACTAGATATCAAAGAATGGATCAACTAGGCATGGTCAAAACATTTGCAGCGTGTGAAACGATTGGATCGATAGGATACAAGTCACATCGATCGAATGATCTTTATCGTCTATAATCTATCTATCTTTGCAGATCTATTCATTCATGAATTCAATGTTTCTGTGATGCTGTGTATTGTAACCGAGACCCAAAGTACCCTAGCCCATTGCCTCCCAAGCACCGGCCGTCCCAAGGCCGGGGTTCCTCCGGGCTCTCTTGCTCACACTCCGTTTGGCACAATCTGCTGTCCTGTCGAGTGGGCCACCGTGTTCCTCTTTCGTATTTTTGAACATGAGTACAAGTGGTCGTCGGAAGTGGAGACCTTTTGGATTTGCTGGGCGGAGACCATATGTATGTGCAGCCAACCGGAGCCTCTCTTATGATTCATGAGGGAACTGAGATGAACTGAGCTATCGATATTGATTGATGTATGCACTGGACAGTTCATAGTTTAAATATCGATTCAAGAGAATTTTGATTTTTGCTTTGTTCATGATCGTGGGTGCATGCTAAGGATCACAACCCGGATGGTCTTACTTTGGCTGGTGGCCACTGTTCGGTATGTATATCTGGTGACTGAGCAACCTTTGTCAAGTTTGATGCCATGGTTTCCCTATGTCCAGTTTTTCCGAAGGATGGCAGCACTATTTGTTGATCATCATCATGTCACTTTGTCCGGTCCTCATTTGGGGAAGAAATGGAATGGTTAAATTTGAGATTCACACAAACCAAAACTGACCTTGTATTTGTTGCAACGTCCTATTTTGCATGCAGTGCGTACAAGTTTCTTCTACTGTGTCAAAGCCTTCGTACTTGATATTCCGATTCCATGATTGAAACATAATTTATATACCATCATCAAATTGATCATGAAACTATTTTCTTCGGTTTTCGGGTTTGCTGGTTCAAGATTGGATGATGTAGAATTCGAAAGTGATACTACTTGACCCCACGCCTGTGCCGCTAAGCAATATGGGGGCCTATGGGGCCCCCACATTGAAGCCAACGATGATTTGGGGCACTGCGCCGGGGCCCTCAATCAACATCTTGCATGGATCTCCAGCAGACCCTTATCGTTAGATCGATGAATATCAGTTTATACCGATTTACTAATAGCGGATATTATAAGTTTCTATACGCGACACCATCATCATTATAATGACCCATGGCTGGTCAGGAAATTCGTGTCTTGTGAACAATGATGACATAACATGCATGGCCTCAGACATCATCAGACCAACGCCACCCTCATGCCTTCCCCTGCAAACTTGCGCACTCAGGCCACTCATCCCTCGCATGGCCAAGAGAACCAGCAAGGCAGTCAGGGCCAAACTGAAGAAGAACAAAAAGGAGAAAAAGGTTGCACCGTTGGTGAAAAAGACGGTGTCAGCATCAGGAAAAGTTCAAGTGTCATAGACTCAGGAACCAAAGGAATGGCTATGCAAATCAAGCTGTATATGATTTCGTTCATGTGCTGTTTGGGTTTCACCTCTGAATTCAAGTGGTGACCATGCCTTAGGACTGGGGCTGCTGCTCTCAAGGCCAGCCAAATATATCCACGAAAATATGGAGTATCAATGGCTCGTCACCACAAAAAGTTTTTGGTCTCCGTCTCAGATTGTTTCTGAATGAGATAACATCCAGCTTCTAGATCTTATATGCAAACCGGTGAGTTTCAACACCATCGTTTTTGAATTCACAATGATCAGAAAACCATCTGGCTGCCAGTTCCCGGAAATAGAAACGTACCAACCCCAGCCCTTTTGCCTAGGATTCTGGAAATCAGAATGAGCTTGCCAAAGCGTTTGGTCCCGACCTTGGTGATTGCAAGCAGGTGTTCAAGGTCAGGGCTGGCGTGAGATGGAGTGGGGCAGGGACCAGCAAGATCATATAGTCTATGTACTGACACGAAGATCCTTATAATTCAATCATAATTATATAATCAGATTCATTTTAAATGTGCATTCCCGTGCTGGGTGATTTTTCGGGAACGAGATGGATTTATAATCCTAACTTGGTGGGTTTCCTTACGAAAGAAATTCGAAAGTTTAAACTTTTTTTTGGGTTGGGTTCGCGCGCCATTTTTGGATATAAAATAGAGCCCCCCCCCCAGCGCACAAACCCAACCCAAAAAAGGTTTAAATAAAGTTTAGATTAGACACTAGGATGAGGTAGCTAATTTGTCCAGTGAGAGCATGGATGGATCTAGGAGAGCCACATCAAATTCCAGCCATATGCAGACACCCTTCCTCGGCATACCACCAAACCCTTAATTACTTGACTAATTTTGAAGAGCATGTTGGAACAAAACGGCCATCCAAACCTGATCTAACTTTTGCCATAATCTTTTTGTGCTTGAGTTTGTCAGATCGACCATGTTCAACCCATTCCCATCACATGCAGGCCCCCTATGGATGGAGACATGCAAATCTGCAAGAGATCAAGGTTTTCTTGCAAAAAGAAGTGAAGGAAGGCCGATTCACCCCACAATTCGATTATGGGCTGTTCGATTAGTGGGCAACGGTCGCCAATCGATACGAACTGGATCTACTGGACCAGAATCAGCTATTTTAGAGCTGAAAGCACCAAATTAATTCAAATTGAGTGATGTATACACTCATGCCGCTGCAAAAAACTGGGTGCTTGGCGGAGCCGTGGGCAGTGATCTGTCCAACCTGCATGGGGTTCGTTCCCACCCAAATGGACAGGGTATCATCAATGCATGGATAAATCAATTTATCAGGGTGTATCAGGGAGAATTCATAGCGTGAAATTAGCGTGAAATAGCGTGAAATTAGCGTGAACCACCGTTTTTTAGCGTGAACCACCGTTTTTTAGCGTGAACCACGGTTTCCCCAAAAACGCATATTTTTGTGTGTTTTCTGCAAATTGATCTTCCAAACCTTCTTCATCGTGAAATTTCATCAACATTTATAATTTATATTATAGCGTCAAAATAACAGGTCTGGATCGAATTTGGATTCACCAAGAGCAATTATAGGAGATCGAATTTCATCAGTTCCATTCGGGTTCACCAAAAACATGTATAGCTAATCAAATATTATCACAGCCCGTTTGGGCTCACAGTGCCTTTTGCCAACTATGCCAAGCGAATCTGTTGTGAAAGCTTTGGCAAAAGCTGCCAAACGGGCGGCTAAGATTGCCGAAGCTGATGCTAGTGGTGGGGGCAGCCCCGAGGAAGCCCCTGAACCTGTTAAGCCACCCAGCAAAAGGAAGGAAGCTCAATTGGAAGAAGCCAAAGACACGTCCAGGTAGGGTGTTGGGATCATGAACTACGCGCAATGCATCACCATGTATTCGTGGAATTCATTGATCCAACCATGATAACTTATTAGCATGGACATCCACTGAAAACGATTTAGTTTGAGTATAGCCTGTCAAACTGTCCAGGTAAAACAGCAATATACCGCCTAGCATGGATATATTTCATCAATTTACTTCTTCATGATTTTTTGGTCAGTATTCTTTGGGACCACCGGAACCCTTTGATCACTGGTTGCAACCCACTTCAACGACTAAAGTTCAGGTCGGCAAAAGGTAACCCTGGTGTTTCCGGACAAGATCTGAAGGAAAGGATTGCATCTGCGAAGCTTGAACGAGGCTTGGTTCGGGCCAAGCTTGGCCAATTGGTTGGGGATCTTGATTGCACCGATCAATTTTCTGCAATGATCAATTTAATAAACAGATCTATATCAATGCATCAACTAATGTTTGCAGAAGAATTTATATAATGTATTTGGGCATCTCATGATTCACATATCAGGTTTAAGTTGACCAATGTTTATCATCATGATATCATATCAGATTAGAATCGATAAAATGCACCATTTTGTTCGTTTTGTTGGTGCCACCTTCTGATTAATTTGTTTTTTCAATTTCCTCTCACGCATGCAAGCACAAAAATGCAAAACACCATTTTGCAGTGTATGTAGTATGAAACATAACGCAATAGTTTTGCATGCAAGACATCGGAATATAACATACGAATCAAGTAACATGTGACATCGTGATTTGATGACCATGATGACCATGACCACTACATGCTATATAGAGATATATCGATTTGCAGTATATGCAGGGTCACTTTATCATTATATACATATCTTGCCAGCGCGCAGGAGTGAGCACAGCAAGCACAGTGAAAGGAGATGTAAACGATGGTGCGGGAGGGGGAGAGTCAAACCCGAAAACCCCCATGCCCAAGATCAAACGGTCGGACACAACTGTTTCATCAGCATCGGGAAAGAATCCTGCCCCACGGAAATCAAAGCTAGAGCCGAAGATCCAAAGCAAGTCGATTCTGAAACCAAGTCCCTCTGATGCCACTATGCACTACAGTCCCGAGAAAGCTGATGAAACACTTGTGCCAGAACCCAAACGTACAGCTGCCAAGACACGGGCCAAGCCTAAGCGGAAAGGTCAGAAGAACCCACCAGAAAATTCCCCACCAGCCAAGACAGAAGATGCAGAAGGACATACGGCCCAGGCTGTGCAAGACGCTCTTGCCAGGAAAGCCACTGCTGAGTTGCCTGCAACACCGGCATCATCGGGTAAGAGTAAGACTGGTAGCACGGTGGAGAAAAGTCCCAAGAAGAAGAAGAGCACGGTGGAGAAGAGTCCCAAGAAGAAGAGCACAGTGGAGAAGAGTCCCAAGAAGAAGAAGAGTCCTAAGAAGAGTAGTCCAAAAAAGAAGGGTAGTCCAACAAAGAGTGGCGCCACGTCGACCCCACCAGCACCAGCTCCCAAGAAAGCAGCACCGACGAGTTCTGATTCAAGTGACAGTGAGGAGGATGCTGAGGATGAGGATGAGGGTTCTGACACTGAACTCCCGCTGGCGCAGCTCCGTGCCAAGAAGGCAGCGCATGCCAGGTACATGCGCTTTAGCAGAAGTCTGAAGAGCAGACGTGCCGAGCCCCAGCCCGCCAACATGATATCACCACAGTCTTGATTGATGGTCTATCTAGTTTTACTTTATTATATAAAATATATTGTTTTGCGTATGCATCATATCACGCATGGCCGATTTGATTTCACATGCAATATACGTTTTTTCATTTCGATCAAATGATATGAGTCTACAAAAGACATTCTGTATACGTGAGACTTCACCACGAAGAAAAAAACGAATGATCCCAAACCCGTGCATACGTACATTATAATATATATCCATTTCATTCAGTCATCTATATGTTTGGCCAGTCTATTCTTTTAAGAAAAAAGTCAGCATAAATGACCTTATATTAGCTTTGGATTTTTATACCTTATCAGTCTGAAACTCTTATATGTTCATGTGATTCATGATGTGAGATGTGATGTTTTAAGTTCTTTGGTTCCATGAATGCCTAGACCATCCTCGGCCCAATTGTTTGCAAGGTGCACCACTGGAGATTCGGAAAGCTGGTCGTTCAGCGAAGCACTGTGACTTGGCAACACAACAAAACAAAAAAAACATTTGGAGACATCCCGAATTCAGACCCATTCCTTAACTAGTAATATTATGCTCGCAGGCGCCACTAAGATTAACTTGATCAAGATCCATGGGCCATATCAGCCGACGAAAATACACGGATAGTTTTTAAGCACCATTGATCAGTTATGATGTATAATATATATCATGATACATACATACACACAAATGGGGGCACGCATACTTTCCAGCCAAGGCAGGGCCAAGCTTGGCATCCTGTATGAGCAGTGGATTCAGTGCGAAGGGCACTGGACGGAGTCCAGTCTGACCAAAGAGCTCCGTGTCAGCAACCGGCACCGCAAGAGGGGTGCAAGGAAGTGGCTCACACTGGGTGAGTTGGAGCAGAAGTATGGAAGTGCCCGAATAGCTCAGCGCATCAAAGAAGCAAAGGAAAACGACAAGGAGCTAAGGAAAAGTCAAATCCGTGCCAATCCAGATTGTCCGGACGCCCCGGACTCTAGCCTGCAAAGGGTGTAATTACGGGTGCTCAAGCGCAGGTTTGTTGGGGCATCTTTGCATCACATGCCATATATATTCAATTATTATATATAAATTAATAAACATAACATATAATATCATTGTGTCTACAAACGGGGTATGATTATGAGGGGTTCTGTATGCATGGCATGGCACGTATCACATGCTGATCGTCTTCATCCAAGAGCCTTTTGATTCTTAACAAATATGCGGGTGATGATTGATGTGAATTTCATTTATCAAATACTCGGCTTGTCGTGCATGCGTGGCATGTATATCTGTGCATGTCGCTGTGCACCCCCATGCCCTGTCTACCACGCTTAGGAGGCAACCCAGTACTTGGTCTGGGATATCGATGCTGAAGAGGACACGGAAGACACCACTGCATCCACCCTTTTGAGCGCTGTGGATGCCGATGATGATGGGTTCAAGAGAGGGAAAGGCTCCAAACGCAGAGGTAAGGCAGGCAAGGGTGTGAGGGGAAAGGCAAAGAAGAGAAAGCCAACTTCTTCCTCTGATGAGAGCGTGTCCGCTGATGATGATGAGGATGACAGTGATGAGGATTCATCTGAAGATTCCAGTTCTGATTCTTGACTTTGTTTACCAAATCCTGCCAGCCCCAGAAACAATTTTCATAAAGCTGTTTTGAAAGTCAAAAATGTTTGCGAATTTATAGACACTTATTCAGCCAGTGGCGACACTTTTAAACTTACTTGTTTCCCCTTGAAACCCATTGAGATAGGACACATCCAAAACGAAGTTGAAATAATTTGAACCGAACTTTGTTATGAGTTTTGTGATTCGGTATCATCCATCACAATCTACGCATTATGTTGTCCAAACACTGGGTTTGACCATGCCCAGCGACACACCATTCCACACCATAGCTATAGTGTCACGTCATGTCATAGATGTGTTGTACAAGTGCATCACTGACCATCAGCTTAGGATAAGAAGAAAAAAAGAAGAACTCTGGGAAGAAGAAAGCAAAGAAAAGCAACAAGAACAAGAAAAAGAAAAGTTCTGATTCCGACTCATCGTCATCTGATTCGTCAGGGAAGAAACCCAAGAACAAGAAAAAGAAAGCCAACAAGGGTAAGAAGAATAAGGAAGAAAGTGAAACGCCAGAAGAGAAGGCAAAGCGTGAACAGAAGGAGTTGGAGACAAAAGCGAAGCAAGAGAAGAAAAAAATCCAAGCAGCGAACAAGGCTGTGGCAGCTTCTGGGTGGGGCGCATGGTACCGATGGTACAAGAGATTTGTTTCAGCTTTATAGCTGCATGCATGCATACAATGGGTATGTTTCAACCTTCTAGAACCGAAACCATATAGTGAATATCATATAATTGGAACTCATTATATTTATTATATACCTGCTTGGGTACCCTCAAATACCATTGATTTTCCATCCTGCAGCCAGGTGGTGTCGAAGATCCAAAGTGCCTTGGCCAAGGCTTCCTTGGTGCAGGTGAAGGCCGATTCCATGCCACGGCCTCAGTGCCCATTGGTTTAAGAACCAATTCCAAGCATTGGGTAGCCGGGTAGACCAATTGGGATTCTGGAGTTGGAAATAGTTTCGAACTAATTTCTACTTGGTCCTTTTATGTTCCAACCTTTTGAAACCGTTCGGTTTTAAGTATAAAACATCTAGCCTGGTCTTTATGGTGACATACTCGATGAATGATATTTGTTTTGAGAACTCGTTGCATACCCACCCCGGGTTTTGAGCCACTGGTATATGAATATATTGCAATTTAAATCGTAATCACTCAAATACAATGTATATTATCGACATCATATTCGCTCTAGTTTCTTCTATTTCCAGACCCCAACCATCCATCCTCTCTGCACAGATCCGACCAGCAGTTGCCCACAAGGTCGAGTGCATTGAAAAATGCTTTCCTTGGCGAGTTGGGACCCCATAAGAAGGAAATGTCGGCTAAGCGGGAGCAGTTGCTGAAAGCGGTCGACGCTGCCAAGGCAGTGTAGACCAAGTCTGTGGTGGTTTCTTGTTTGTTTCATATCGGTCTATGCACATGTAGGGATCCATCAATTCGGTTGTAACTCAGTTGTCTTCTAAGTGGGTCACAGTCGGTCATGCATCGACATGCTATGTAGAAACTTACTTAATAATGGGTTTCCTTACGAAGGAAAGTTTAAACTTTTTTTTGGGTTGGGTTCGCGCGCCATTTTTGGGTAAAAAAATATAGCCCCCACCCAGCGCGCGAACCCAACCCAAAAAAGTTTAAAGTTTAGACACTTGATGAATTAGGAAATAAACAACATATCCCATTGATTTCAAATGATCGATTTGGTTGAGGGTGTTTCAGAAATTTCAAGATAGATCTTATAAAGTGTAGTTGCGATCTTGAACTACATCTGCAGCTCTGCACCTGCGATGCTGTTGACTATTCGTTCATTGGATTTGGGTTTATTGATCAAATCTATTGATATCGATCTATATATTCTATATTACATATTGTAATAATCATCGATCAGATCAAGATAGATCAGCCCAGGTTTTATGAATGCGAGCCGTATTTGGCTTCACAACCACCTGTTTTCCAAAAAAATGCGTCCCTAGATCCAATTACACATCCGGACGGTCACATCTCCTGGCCCCCCTTCGATTCAGTCGCTCCTGCTTTCAGGGTGGTGGCGATGTCGACCAGTTGCTGCAGCCTGAACGTGATGCTGAGGTTGCTGTGAAGGATTTTCAAGACTTTTTGGTCAACAACAATATGAAATAGATTGGTAGGTTCTGTTGTCGCAGTGTGACTGCCTTAGACCCTGGCACACGGTAACCGTTTGCAAATTTGGTGTTACCAGGGGGCCGGGAATGGCAAACAACTGCAGGGGTGCTTGCAGCGGCAGATCGATTCATGAAAGAAAACATGTGGTTGAATTCAAACTGGTCCCAACTCATAGGAAAGGGTTCCAAAGTGTATTTGGTGATTGTAGCGATCACAATCTTTCAAACATATTTTTTGGATAATCATTCGAATCTTTCTTATGCTGCAGCGACAAGTTTTGATCTGGATCTCATGAACCAAAGAAGATCCTAGCGAGAGAGCGTTGTATGGCCACAACTCTGTGGTTTGGCAGACCCCGGCATGTGTGCTGGCTCCACCGCGTGTTGAAAAACCTGTTCGATTCCATATGCCTGAAGCGAATCTGGACCATGATTGAGGATCTGGCTTCAATGTTTTTTTCTGCAACTGATTATTGTTTGGAGTTCGGTCTAGTTAGCAACTTCCTTCAATCAATACAATTTCGATTGACTGATATGTTTTAACAATTTTACTGTAAATGTCAGGGCGGCAATGTTAACCGTTCATATGATATACATCGATTATCATCCAAAAACCGTTCTATGAACTATGTTGTGACAACCAGACCAGCTCTCCCCAACTTGACTGTTGCCTCCCCTTCGCAGGAATAGATGATGTCGAAGTACCTGGCAATTTCGTGCTTCAGAACGAGATTGACGATGTCAGCTCCGGAGAATCTTGGCAACACTATCAACCTGGAAAAATCGTTCAAAATTCATTTAAAGATGTTCAATGGACAAGTTCATTCTTGCAGAGATGGCTAATTATCAGCTTATTTTTCATACCTAAATACCAAACACGTTTTTTTTTTTAAATCCAACCCAGGCCCCATGGGTACCCTCATGTGCTCCACTTGGACAACCCAAAAAACACACCAAACAACTTGAGGCAACTTCAATCTACAAAGCGATGAAGCGCATCAGATCCCATGTGCAGGTTGCTGGGGCTGGGTCATAGACGGGTGATGGAAGTGTATGAACATCATATGCATCATATGCATCATATGCATCATAGCTTGACAAATCTACGAAACACACATATAGATCTATATCGATGGGGTTATTGACCGATACAATATAAATTATACAAGTTATTTCCTTATTATGCATGTGAAGCACCATGTGTAACCACACATTCACTGATGTTGCATTTGCATGCTATTTTGGTTGTCAAAGCACTGGGGAACATAGTTTTAATCTCATCCAATTTGTGCAACTTCAGGAACGTGTTTCTGGGTATGTTTTGGTGACCAGCACCTCATTCATACGATGACTATATAGCGTCCTCAGACCCAACAATCATGTCCAGGAAAGTGGCCTATCAACTGACCCTTTGACTTATCGGTTGGGTAAGTTGAAAGCTGGAAATGAAAACCGCGATTTCTGGAGCGCGACTGAGATCCCAGTGGCGCCTTGGCATCAATCAACAGGCACCTCAGCAGGGTGACATCGGTAGATAATGGCAGGTGTCTGAAATTCTATTTTCATTCAAGCTAGAGGGACTGGATGGGATTGGATTTCGAGCTATCGTGTTGAACATCTCTATCAATTTACACAATTTACTGTACTATCTAATATCGGACCCCAAAGGATTGTAAAGGTTTAGCCCCATGTTGGTCGTGCTGTTGAACCATGATGTTTCGTTCAATGAATTTTGGTTCATTAGCTTAATGCCCAACATATAGTTAAAGCAAACACAGCCTCTTTAGGTCCTCCCATGGTACTTCATGGGTTTTCCAAAACCAAACAAGTGGTCAGACTTTGCCAGTTGTCCAAAATGAGGACTTGGAATTTGTTTCGGTTCCAGTGCTCGACGAAAAGTCTCCTGCTGGATATCAGGTTGTACGGCAACCAGTTCTATTGCCTCACCGCATCATGGCTTATCTCTGTAACCATTGTGAATTGGACATTCCGGAGTCAGCCATTCACCAATATTGGGACAACGCCATTGCTTCAAAAGAAACATATGCAAGTCTGGATTCAAGGCACAGAGTGCCTTTGGGTTTCTATGGAGATGCAGCCCAACTTGTGACAAAATGTCGAATCGAAAAGATGCTGTGTTTTTTTGCAAACATCGTGATTTTCAGGCCAAGGAGTATCCGGTACAGCCGATTCCTGCTATGGTCTTGTGACGTGTCCCTCCTTTACAAAAACCGGACTGTCAATTCCATTCTGAGATGGGTGGTTTGGTCGTTCAACATTCTTTATGAAGGAATTTACCCAAGTGCTCGTCCTGGTGGTCTACCATTAGCCTCCAAAGCTGAACGTGATTTGGCTGGTACCTGGTTGACCCGTCAAAAATATCAATTTCAAGTTGTGGAGGTTCGAGGAGACTGGGAGTTTCACAAAATGCTCTGGCAGTTCAAGAGCAGCTGGAAGGGCGGGGTCAATGTCGGGATTTGCTTCCGTTGTCCAGCAATGGCACGATCTCCCGATGTTGGCTTGCAATACTGGAACATGGATGACGAAGACAGCACATGGGCCCGAGAAGAGTTCAATACACACGAATTCATTTCCAAAATGGTTCCCGGAGTCAATATTTGTTCCTTGGTTCTGAGTTAGTGTTTTTCCTAGCAAGCCATTCGTTTCATGTCCCTGTCCATAGCATCTGTGTATAACGCATTTCCACGCAGAACCAGCCCGATTGGTGGTCATGGTGTGGATTTTGGATTGGATCTTCGGTCTAAAGAATGTTTTACAGGAATATCCTCCCTCATAATATAGCGACCATCCACCATCCAGTCCAACCCAACTGGCGGTTATGATTTGGATTTGGATTTTATTAGCTGCATTTCAATTTCTAGACCATCCACCTTCTAGTGGTCCAGCCCGTTTAAGGCCCACTACTGAACCTGAAGAAGTTCGACCTCTCATGCATCAAATGGTGTATGATGCATGTGATCAACCTTGGCATTTTGATGTCCCTCAACGGGGGGGCCTTGATGCTTGGCAATACCCATCATACCCCCCCAACCTTTGCCATGGCACTTGGTGTGGTGGCAATGGAAAAAATCCACACTCCTGAAGGGCAATTGACCGAACGATCCATGATCAATGAACTCAGTCATCTGGAATTAAAACAACAAAATCCAGGTGGACATGATTAATCCGACACATGGTTGTGAGTTGTTGAAATATCAAATTCACTAATAAATATATATATATTATATATAGATCAGATTAATTTATCAAGATTTCACCCAATGATATTGATCTACCCAGTAATATTGATCTACCCAATAATGATATATCCAGCATGTTTCTATATATTATATATATATATCTACCTATCTATGGTAGATCCATCCATGATCTCTCTCCATTATCTATTACTCACCAATTCTTTGGGTTTAATTATTTGGAACCAGCCTGGCTCTACCGATCTGTAGATCTATCGAGACCTACACTGATTCAAATCGACTGATCGATCTTCCTAGTGGGCTACTATCCTTCATGCATTCACTTATCTCGATCAATTATATAGATCATTTGGTTTTGACAATGCGTTGACATTATCATGATATTAATTGATAATAGATATACGATATATCATAACCGCGAATGTTCATGAGGCAATGCCATGCACATCTTCTATACAACGATGTACATCGTAGACCTACTCATGGTATCCTCACCTGCTGTGTTTCCATTCAGAGTATCAGGACTATGTTGACCGAGCAAATGGAGTACTGGGGGCCGGGGACCTTTCAGCAACAACTCGACTCTGCCTACGCAGACTTCATATCTTTCTGTCGGGCACGGAAGCTGCATCATTCCCAGCCACCCTTCAAAGAGAACAAGGTGATCTGATTTGGTTGAGCAAATCTGTAGTTACTTTTGCAAATGCAAAGCAACCCCAACACAAAAGATGAACATGAAACATATTCACAAGCAATTTGCCCAAAAGTAATCGAACAAATGCATATAAATGCGGTGTACATGACAATATCGATTCATATGCATTTTTATTCCATCCTGGTCGAGGGCCTTCCAGTAAATCTCCGATAAATCATAGCATGTCAATCCCTGCGTTGAGCTTAGGTAAAACCCACTTGGACAGGGACACCCGAGATCTCGCTCAACGCAAAGGCTTGGAACGGACGAATCATTTGCAGCTGGCTGGCGGAGACCATGAATCATGCTGCGCATGGGTATGATGTTGGGTATGATGATGGGCGGCTGACATTGGTTTGTTATGCCCTGAAACTTGGTTCAAGCTGCACTGTCTAAAGACCATTACATTGCTAGGCAGGCTGCACCACAGGAAGGTTCAAACAGGTAGCCTATATTCTTCGAAGAAACCCAGGTGTTGGACCATCATTTGACCCATGTGATATAGCGTAATCGAATCATAAATCATTTTTTGGATACAAGTAGTATCATATTGATGATATGTGAGATATGGAATGTATCAAGTGTTGTAGCTAATTTGAAATATATTTTTGGTTTCAACCTCTATAGCCCGACAACAGAACCAGTCCTGGCACATTGCCCGGCCGCTCAGGAAGTGCATGGCTAGGTTTTTCTGGCTTTGCGAAGCAAACCCACGAGAACTGTGCCTTGTACGTACTGTATGAAACAGGAGGTTCACTTTGACATACCGATGCATAAATTAATATGCCCATCCTGGAGAACACAACTGATGAAGATGTTCAAAACATATCCAGGGGCTAGGACGTACTCATTAATTCTCGGCTGGTGACTTGCCGGAACAAATTCTCAGGGGAAACGCCTGCAAAACACGACAGTCCATTTCCTTGATGAGACAACAGTATCTATCCATTGATCGATGATGATCGATGCATCTGTTGCGAATAATGGCTTGGTAATGATCATCATTTCAGTGTTGCAACATGTTGCTCTAGCTACCTGTGTATTTATAGCCTTGCAGATGGTGATCAGCAAAGCAAAGCTTCAACATGGGTTGCTGTGCAACTTGATAAAATATAATATATATACAAACATTACCTAGGTCGGTGCAAGCAGCTACCAGCATCTATGCAGAAGGACGTGGTTTCCTCAGAGCGTATCGCTCGCTCGCTGCTCTGAGCATCCGAAAGGGGATGCATACATTTCTACTCAAACCCAAGTTCCATGTGCCTTGGGCTATGTTGGGTTACCTATGTTACCTTGATTTTTCCAAGGTACCCACATTTTTAGACTAGTGTTTTTAGGTTAAACCTCGATCAATATAATACTTATTTGAATCCGCATGCTTTGGGTCATCACCATTTCAACCATGAGTGTCATGATTCACCTCCCAATTTGCATGAGGCCATGCTTCATATCCTGAGAGACGTTCGGCGTCTTCGATCCTTGAACTGATGTGGCGATGCGCAGGCGTTAGGCCCCTGGATGTGTTTCAACATGCATGCATGCAAATATATTATATATTATATTACCATATGGACGCATGCATTCGCTAATCTTATATCAAACTCGGGTGCCCGCATTGAAACGATTCATTGACATTCCAAGGCCGACCATGATTTTGTCTGGCATCGCTGGCATACTATGACTATGTATATAATTATCTTCAATAGATATTAAATTGATCATGATCATTATTATATGGTGCATTTATAGCATATATACCCTGGAAGTCAACCACACTAATAAATAGTTTTAGATAGTTTTAGACTTTTGTTTTTGGATGTTTGGGTTTGGGTAGGGGGTCAAAAGAAAGTTCGATTTCCATTTTCCAGTTTCAAATCCAACGCATTCCATCACCGGTTTTTGGCATGCATTGGCGTGGCAAACCATTCGGCGACCAAGGGAAAAATCCAAGATACTACCACACATATGCTGACGAGGACAGCATGAAGTGGGCAAAAGGCTGCTTGACAAGTCAAAGTATTTTGGGATAGTTAAGTGCACAAGGTTGTGGTCACAAGACTTAACTCAGTGCACTGCAGCTGGTTGTTGAATATTTCTGATCTAGCTATCATACCTTGGATCTCAGTGGCCCATGGCCCCTGTTTGGCCCAAGGCGTGGCAAAGTGGTCTACGAATCGCAACAAACGGGCTTCATGGATCTTGAAGTGCCAAAGGCTGAGGCCAGCTATGTTTTTTTGGGGCTGGTGAGTTCATGTTACGTGATTCATGCTGTTAACTTAGACATCAGCAACTGTGCGCCAGGCTGCTTTCCATGAAATACAAAATGGCCCAGTTCCTCGAATGCATAACATATCATACGATTGCCTTCGCTGATCATTGTCACGATCGATGGGTATCTCGGTTAATATCTGGATATTACTCAGATTGGGCGCATCTAAGGCTGAAGAGCCGCCAGTTTCGCTGATGATCGACCCGGCAAGCAAAAAGCGTCAACCATGCATGAGATATTATGAGATGCTTTAACCATCACATATGCAGAAAACCGTGGTTTGCAGGAAACCGTGGTTTGCGGACAGGTTTTGGGAAACCGTGGTTGCAGGAACGACATCCTAAAAAACCGTGGTTTGACTTCCAGGGTATATATATTAACAATCTATCTAGTTAATCAATTAGATTGGGGTACCTAATTTTAAACAATGTAAATGTAGATATCTATTGTTAATAATATAGATATATTGTTAATCTATTGGGGTACCTAATTTTGACCATCTATTTTGTTTATCATATAATTTCATTACCGAAAACATGACCACAAAGCAACCACATAGCAACCACCCTAACCACAAATGAACATTCTAAACCAATGATGGTGTAGATGGGTTTATGATGATAAAATAACTATAGATGCTGGTTGGTGGTTTCAAACATGGCTTTCATTTTCCACAATATATGGGATAATTATGATAATTCTTCCCATTGACGAACTCCATCATTTTTCAAGATGGTTATTGCACCACCAACCAGATAATGTTAGTCTACAGCAATCGGAAAACGAACACCCATATTTTTCTTGACGGCTGGAATCCCAGTCATTAAAAATGTGGCAAGTTATTGAGGATGGTGGATCCGTGATGTGAAAGAAATCCCCAAATCATCAGGACATGTGGCCTAGGCGCTGATGTATGCTTGTGGAATGGTGATGATTGGTGTATGCGTGAGTATGTATATTTGTATAGACGGACAACCAACAAACACAGGTGTTGACCGACACAAATAGTGATATGATATGATGAAACTATAAAGCAGCTCATGATTTTTACTTGTAGTAAGACCTCCGACTATCGTGAAACCGACTATCATGAATATTCACCCAATGGCAATGAAATCGGGAATACAGTACCTACCTCATCATGCCGATTTTGCCATCAACAATCAATGGGTTAGTCATCAAAAGATTAACGTGTTTCATCACTTGTATTGTACAATCAACAAGTGATTTCGAAGGGTGATTGACCATGAAGATGGGAATATTATTTGCCAAATGAAGATGGGATCTTACATGAACAAGGTCCCCAGTGTCAACAGGGGACCTTCTGATAGGATCTGTGGTGAATCGCACAACATATACAACATTTTATAATGATCCAAACTGTTTGTAGATACATATAGAACATATTTCGGAAGGTACATGTGAGTGCACTTTGAAGTTTGAAATGTTGCGGAGGTTGCCCGCAAAACCCGTTTGCCTGTCTCGGTCAGTTCAAAGGGGACTCGATGGATTTCGCTATGTTAGTATCTGGAGGGAATCCACGAGTGTCATTTACAACAGCTGGTTGGTGGTTTGGAACATGATTTTTATGACTTTCCCATCATATTGGGAATAATAATCCCAACTGACGAACTCCATCATTTTTCAGAGGGGTAGGTATACCACCAACCAGACAAGCTTGGCCAGCATTGGTGGTGGCAGTGGCAGGGCCTTTGGATGCCTTTGGCATATGAAACTTTCACCTGGACTCGCATGAGAATGCGGTGATGAACCACTATGAACCCGAACAAGATGTTAACACCTTCAAAAAATGATGATTGGTACATCTTAAAACTAAACATCTACAATCTTGCCACCCGCTAGATAGCTAAGTTGGATTTAAACTCCAATAACTAGGGTTTGTGGATGTTCCAACTAGAGTAACTATAGGCTTCATAAACCAACTTAGAACTAAATGTTGATCGTCAATAGCATGTTAAAAGCAACTAATGTGGGTAAAACAATAAACCATCCCCCAAATTACCATAAATAGGTGGTATAAACCATTCCCGACTGGGTGGTTTATTATTGTTTTAGCCACATTATAGTCAATAGGACTGTTAATACAATGTGGGGCCCCCAAGATAGCGTTCAGTTGGTGAACATAACTCCAATGTCACTATGGGATACGCAAATAACTACAGCTGGTTGGTGGTTTGGAACGTTTTATATTTTCCATTTCATATATGGGATGTCATCCTGCCCATTGACGAACTCATATTTTTCAAGATGGTTATTGCACCACTAACCAGATAGTCTTCATGGGGTTTATAAACCAACAAAAAGAACTGGGGGTTGCGTCACTTGTTTTTTTTTCCGGATGCGCCAGGAGGCACATCGACCTCAACAAGGACGAACATTTTGACCACGACTAGTGACATGTGGGAATTCAGGAACACAAGTGGTGATTTAATGGGATTTCACCAAGCATGATTGGATTTGTTGGTTGGGATTCTATGGTTTCATAGTGTTATTTCTTGGGTAGTCTTGATGTAAGTCTGTAAATTCTCCAGTTCTATGCTCAAGAATCAACGGACAGGGATTTACTGGTTGGTGGTTTCAAACATTTTTTTCTATAATATATGGGATAATCCTTCCCATTGACTTTCATATTTTTCAGAGGGGTGGCTCAACCACCAACCAGTTTATGTATACTATAATGCAATATTTTTTCTGGATGCCCATTAGGGGATGCCACAAAAATCTTGTTTTGAACATGGATATACCCCCTGGTAATGACTAACCTAGCTATTGAAAATGGCCATAGAAATAGTGGATTTTCCCATTGATAGCATGGTGATTTTCCAGTTCGCTATGTTAGTTTACCAGAGGGTAACATTGAGTCATTGAAAAGACCACTGTCACTGTTGATGGCTCAATATATCTCCATGGGTATCGGTCTATTGGGATTTATTCACCCATAAAGCTTACAATTGGTTTCAAATGTTATGAACATAACATTTGTCCTAAAAAATTAGTGACATCTGCTAGAAACCAACCAGCTATAACCAATAAAGGATGGAAAATTCCTCTCAGGAGATCCTGGCCTGCGAAAACGTGGAGGAGATCCTGAAGCTCTGTCGGAAGCCCAAGCGCTGCGTTCAACCCTGGTTGGTTGATGTCAAACTCGTCATTTCATATGGTTTTAACATGTGTTAACCATCAAAATGTAGGGACATTTTTGTGGATATAACTGATATAACTGATAAATGATGGTTGGTTGATGATTCGTTCGGGGATTATACGGTATAATACTACCTTATTTTAACTGGGGAATATGTCATGTTTTTTCAGAATCACCGGGGAATCCTCACATAAGTGTGGGGGAGTTCACCAGAGAATATTGGGGATTTCACCGATCTTCCAACTTTCACCAAGATTCGGCCATAGAAAGTTTTCAAACAACATGGTATTTGTTCTGTGTTAGTTGTT